GACCTCCTTTACCCTACCGTAGGTGGGAGCCTTTGCGGCAATGGGGTAATGATGATGATGATCATTACTAAATAAACAATCTGTATGCTTTGTTTGGATTTAAACATATTCATTTCACCACATTGGTGTACTTAAAAGCACTGGTAAAAGTGTGAAAACAAGATTAAAAACAACATGTTGATTTAAAATGTGAAATGTAAAGAAGTTTGCATGACAATTTTGGATGCGCTTAACATAATACAATCTAGGGAAACAATTTGGGAAACAAAGGATTAGGAATGGCAGGTTGAAGTTTGGTCGATACAAAGCTCTTTCCGTTTATTTTTCTTTCCTATTATAATATTGGTTTTTATATACTGTTCTAATAAATGATTTTTTTTTGCTATATCACAATCTTTTAAAACAACCTCAAATAAGTTGGTTGTAACACATTGACTCTGGTCTAGAAACATGATATCCCACCCATTTTCTTTTTTTCAAGATGTTCCCTAAACTGTCCTTCATGTTTCTCTCTTTAAGTGTATGATTTTTAAATGTTTTCTTCACAAAGTTGACAAAAATTGACACAATTTAACAATCTAACTTATCATTCAAATTCTATAATTGAAGTTCACTATCCCGTAAATCTAAATCTACAGAAAAGGTAAACACGGAACTTTGTTATCCTTGATACAAAAAGTGTAAACAAAATTTTCGACATTTTTTGACACGAGTCTTACTTATATAACATGAGAATTGGTAATTTCTCTGTGTAGATGATGCTTTTGAATGTGTTCCTCATTCAGTCTGTACTACACCCTCATTTTAAATTACTATAAATCTCTACACAATGAAAAATGCTCCACAATCCTAAGCCTGTGAAAGGGGATGCATTCTTATTGTTTTAAATAACTTACATTCTTGTTAGCTTACATATTACTTTACTAAAGTATTCTTAGAAGTTTTGTTTGATCTTAGTTGTTTAAGTTGAAAATATGTCAAATATTATTATTGCTAATGAAGTGAACACCTAGCATCTATAATATTTGAACCAGTCTAATTTACCTTTTGAAATCTATTAGGAACCATCTTCAGAATCAGATTTGTTTTGGGGATATGTAAAAGCATATACCCATAGCCACCATTAGAAAATCCATCTACTTAGAGTCCGTTTGGCAGCATGAAAATCAGCTGTTCTGGCTGATTCTGCTGAAATTTATGAATTTCTGACTAAAGTGGCTGCATTGACTGATTCTGCTGATATAAGATTTTTTTTTTAAAATATATTTTATTAATAAAATAAAGAAAAAATTATATGTAAAAATAGCTAAAATGGTCATCTACAGTAACTTCAGCCAATACAGCCAGAAAAGTAACTCTAACCTTACTTTTTCGGTTTATTACACAATTCAGTGCGCGAAAGCAAAATTTACGTGTTCGATAAAAAAGTTGGCTTATAAGCCTGATAAGCTGAATATGAGGGTTGCCAAACGGCCTCTTAATTGAAGATTTTAGATTATAATGTCGTTTAGCTTTAGAATCTCATCTTCCTCCACAAATGGTCGTATCATTAATTTTTTTGTTCTGTTTAAAAATTAACTTTCGTTGAATGATATAACTTCACACATCACCGAGTTTTAAAAAATCAAATATTTGACAACTTTCATACATGGTATTTAGGTGAATAATATTTGATAACCCTCATACAGGACATGGCTTGAAAAAAGTTCAAGAACTCCCTTGCAGATTTGCAGCTCACATCCGGCCATGTTCGGGGCCCTTTATCCGCCACACTTCGTGCCCTCCACTCGATTCCGTGCTTGTAGCCTTCATATTTGTGACGGTGGTAAGGCGATAAGGCGCCTTTATATGGCGCCACACTAGCTGCCATATTGCCTAGGCGATAAGGCGCCCCCCTAAGCGACAATAAGGCGACTAGTCGCACATTATATAATATATTATATATAATAATTATATATTATTTATAACATATTAGTAGTTAAATTGTACCACATATATAACTTAGAAATGAAACCCACAATTAATAATTTAAACAAGGTTTATTAATGGGATGTCAGAGTATAAATGTTTTTCTCAAATAATATGTAATTATATATAATAATTTTTATTGTTAGTTTAATAGTTTATTATTTTATAACATATAATAAATTAAAAGTGTACAAAGCATATAAGCAGCTCAATGTGTGCATTGTGTTGAATTGTTTATATAATATAAAAGTATATATATACACGCTGATAGTCCTGATACATTTATATTGATAAAACAGACATATATAAATCATCATCATCACCCAGTGCCGCAAAAGCTCCCACACCTTACACACACATATATAAGGAGATAATGATCTAAATAGGAGTAAAATAATGTAAAAGTGCAAGACTAGGACCGAGATGTTTCGTAGGAGTGAAAGTCAAGAGATTGACAAAATTACCCTTAAAGATAAGAAAATAGTTGAATAAAACATGATAGCACACAATTAAATGACGGCATAGTTAATTGACGGGCAAGACCACCACATATTTGTTCTATCTGCGGCCGCCGCTGCCGGCCGGCTCATCTGCTGCCGCCTCCGCTGGCTGGCTCATCTGCTACGCTGCCGGTCGTCTCATCTGCCGCCGCTGCCTTCGGCCGGATCATCTGCCGCCACCGTCGCCGGCTAATCTGCCGCTTCCAGTCGCCTCATCTGCAGTCGCTCCCTCAGCCACCACAGACCGGCTCACCCGCCTCAGTCACTACCAATATGCTCCGCTACCTCTATCACCACTACGCCGCCGCCGCCGCCTCTGCTGCCACTGCCGCCGCCACCTTTATTGGTGAGATTGTGGCAGATTTCTGACGCCGCCATCTTATTTATGTTGTATTGATGTAACTGCCATCATTATTATAATAATGACATATTATGATATTTAGAGGTCTTAAACATGGCATTTTGAGATAACAATGAAGAAATTTTGAGGTATAAAATATGGCATTAAGTGATACAAAAAACGGCATTAAAAATGATATTGCAATATTTTACAATATAAATGGCATTCTTTGCCAAGTGACCAAAGCAACGTCAAGAATAAAAACAGATCATGTCATTTTGCAAAAGATAAAATTTGAAAAGAACAAGATTTAGAAGAAAATTTGAAAGTAAAAAAATAGAAGATAACAAGAAAAAACCCGATTGAAACAGATTCGGAACGAGATACAAAAAGTGAAGCAAAAACATAATATAAGATGGTGATAATAATCAACCTGGAGGAGACATTTCACGATGCAAAAATTTAAAAGGCTATGTTCTATCACCGATTGAAGGAAAATAGAGAAAAAGAAAAGAAAGAAGAAGAAGAAAAAGAAGAAGAAGAGGAAGAAGAAGAAGAGAAGGAGCAAGAAGAGAAAAAGAATCCAAACCTGGTCGTCGTCGCTCGCCGTTGTTCCCTGTTCACTGGTGACCAGAAACGGAGAGAAAATTCATCATCTATACCTTTAAAATCGACGGAGATGAGAGAAATCAGATGAACATAATAATATTGAAGTTATTATAGAGAGAAAGAGAAAAAAATTGAGGTCTCAAGACTGGATTAAGCATTGATGCGTGAGGAAAAATGGGGAAGGAACTGGTGGGTCTCATCCTTTTTTGAGGAGTGGGGAAGGAGAGAGGGAAGAGATGAAAGAAGAGAGTGACGGATCGAGATTGTACGGTCAGGGAGAGGGGTATAATAGGTAGGTTAATTAAAATAGTCCTATTTAGGGAATAAATTAATGATAACTCCTATTTTGGAACTTTGTTAATGTTTTAGTCCTATTTAGGACAGTATCTTATATATAAATATAAAAATTAAAGGAAAAATTGGTATTATTATTCCCAACTATTCGCGATCCGCTTTTAATAATCATTATCCCTATTATGCATTATTTCCCTGTAGTCCCAACTTTGACCACCATTTTCTTTAAATAGTCCGGTAGATCCAATACAGATACAACCGGTAATCCCCATTATTAAACTCATCGCTTAATCCATCTTAATACCGTCACAGTTAAACCACCGATTTTCTTCTCATCTACCTTTGCCCTCCCCCCACCCCCACCCCGCCGCAGATGGAGAAAATCCTTTTGCATTTAAAGTCTCTAAATGCAATTCGAGAAGAAAACAGAGAGAGCAGGTCATCCAAGGAGATAGAAAATAGAGAAAGTAACATAGAGAGTGGGAGTCACGCATTGGTCCGTTTTCTTCTTCTTCTTCTGTTTAAAGATCTCATTGACCTCTAACTTCTCAAGAGCAACACAAGGAAGACGACAAATTTTGCTTATGCTCAAAATTTCTTCGGAAGTTCTTCTATCAATTTTAAATTGGAAAATAAAAACCAGGTAAACAGGTGGAATGATTGAATGTTTCAATCATTTTTTCTAGATTTTCCCGTGAGTGATTGTGATTTTCAATCAAAGGGAATTGGAACACATTTTTGAAGCTACGTTGGATTCGGATAGAGAACTAGAAGGTTCTTCTGTGTTTGAACCTTGAGATATGGCTCTCTTTCTCAAGCTTAGTCTTTTAGATCGTTTGATGCAGAGCTGCTTGGAAAACAGTTCTGTGGAAGCTTCAAATGGATAGTGAGAATCTATATCCGACGTATTGGTAGATCGATCGACGAAGAAAGGCACAAGAATATTCACATACTTGAGATTAATAGTTGAGATTAATAGATGAGATTAATAATACCAATTTTTCCAAATTAAGTACTTAATTAATTAAAATATTAAAAAACTAAACCCACTATAAGAGAAGAGAATAAGAGATTGGTAAATCTAGAAAAGAAAAATCTAAAAGTACACACTTTTTCATGTACACATTTTTCTCCCCGTCTGGGAGGTAGTGGGGGATCACTTGAGCTAAGAGAGTCTCATATGTTTGTGTAAAGTTTTTTTTGTCTACATGTATTTTACACAAAAAAAGTGTGTATCCAAGCAAAGCTCAACCTCGAAATGTAATGGTCTATACTCTATAAGTCTATAGTCGTCCGCTTCAAAGGACCCAGGGAGAGCGAGCTGGTGACTTCTGCTTCGTGGAGTTCTATAGTTCGTATGCTTCGACCCGACTCTGCTATTTGAGTTAGACGACCCTACGACCCTACGTCTGCGGCGCCAGGACTCCTAGACGACGCCAAGCTCAACTAATCTTCTTCTGACCAGGCGAGGATACCCAGCGAGTAGCAGACGACTGGACGACTAGCTTTGTAGGTTGCGAATTCTTTTGATGATGGTCCTATGGTAAAAACAACATTTATCTCACTATATTCTTCCTCTTCTTGCAGGCGGAACTTACCAGATTATGGCTAAGCAATCACAATCTTTTTTTCTCGAAGAATGGCTTCGAACCACCATTTCCGGGAGCAACAACAGTGTGAGCTTAAAACACCCTTCTTCGACATCTGCCCAAGACATAATTCAAGCTTGGTCAGATTTGCGGGACTCAGTTCAACAACAGTCCTTCCATTCTCGTAACCTCCAATCTTTACGTGCCCTTTTAACCTCTCAAAGTTCGCTGTATATTGCTGACCCACAAGCAAAGCTTCTACTGTCTCTTTTGTCCTCACCCAAAATCTCACTCCCACAAGAATCATACCCTATATTACTCAGGCTGCTGTATATTTGGACTAGGAAAGCATCCAGGCCGTCTTCTCCTGTTGTAGATCATGCTGTGGAGGTTATCTTGCACCTTTTCTCTGTACGGTTTCGTTCTGATAACATCTCGGCTTTCTACTCTGAAGGTGTTCTTATACTAGGTGCCCTTTCTTTTGTAAGTTCAGCATCTGAGAAATCTAGGAAGGCCTGCCATGAGATGCTATGTGCTCTAATTGAACAAGAACAAAAGTTTATCCACATGTCTGAAGGATTGATTCCCAATGTTCTTGCTGGAATTGGCTATGCTTTATCTTCTTCACCCAATTTTTATTTTCGTAGAATCCTAGGTATTCTATTTGGAGTTTGGGATATAACTGAATGTGCTTCGGCTAGCATTGATAATGGACTTCTAGTACTACATTTAACTGAGTGGGTGATATCAAATTTGATCAACTCACGTTCTTCAGATAGTATTAACCTTTTCAGGAGAGAGATTTTAGAAAACCCACGTCCGGAATATGCATCATTTGCCATTCTAATGGCAGCAGCTGGAGTTGTAAGGGTTATTAATAGAACCAATGCACATATAATATTAGACCTGAAAGTTCCTGCAGAGGAGCGGCTTGAGGCCATTGCAGGAAACTTGATGATATCAATGACTCAAGATGATGCTAACTGCTCTTCAAGTGTAGAACCTAGAACTGCCTTTCTTCTGCAATGCTTGTCATTAGCTTTATCCAGATGTGGTGCTGTTTCTCCCAGAGCTTCACTACTTTTCTGCCTTGAGAAAGCGTTACTGACTGAAGTTTTCCCATTGCACTGCTTATACACTAGGGTCCTAGAGTCACATGTTGGGAATTTGATGGAGATTGAGTTAAATGTTCAACAGCATCTGGATAGCACCATGTTTAAAGAAGCAGGAACCATTGCTGCTGTGTTTTGCAATCACTATGTGTCATCTGATAAACTAAACCAAAGTACTGTAGAGAATCTAATGTGGGATTACTGTCAGTATGTCTACTCATGCCATCGGCAGGTGGCTCTAATGCTACCAAGTGGGAAGGAAGGGTTGCGTGTGAGTCTAGATAAAATTGCTGAGTCAGCTTTCCTCATGGTTGTGGTATTTGCATTGACAGTAACAAAGCACAGGCTAGGATCGGACATTGCTTATGAAGAACATTTGAAGCTTTCAGTACAGATACTAGTTTCATTTTCTTGTATGGAATTTTTTAGACGGATGCGTTTGCTTGAATACATGGATGCAATTAGAGCTGTTATTACTAGTGTTCAGGAGAATGAAGCAGCTTGTGTTTCATTTGTGAAATCGATGCCATCTTATGCTGATCTGACAAGCAAACCAGGTTTAACCACTTTTCCACAAAAACTTGTGTGTGATGGTTACCATGAGACGGTAAAACTTTATAACCAAAAACATTAAGTACACACTAAGAGTCTTACTTGCGAATTTTTAAAGAGTATAAATTATGCACATCATGTAATAAAAGCATCATTTGTTTTTACACGTGTTATAAACAAAAAGGTATTGTCTCAGGGCCGTCTCACTTAAGATGATCTCACACAAGACCTACTTTTTATTTATAAATGTGTAAATATGTTTCCATTTACAATAGCAAACATTTGTAGTGTCATCCATTTATCAAGAAATCAATTATGCATGGTCCACTGATGAAGTGCAAACTGCTCGAATTTTGTTTTATTTGCGGGTAATTCAGACTAGCATTGAGTGCATGCCAGCATCTGTGTTTAAGACGGTGGTGGCCCCAACAATGTTCTTGTATCCTACAGTGATTGATAACAACAGGGGGTTATTTATAAATAAAAGAAATTGTTGTTTCCTTTATTCAATGTTTAATAAGATACATGGGACATCCATCTCGAAAAGTGGCTAGAGCAGCACACTCAGTATTTGTGGCTTTCATATCATCTGGAAAGGATCATAACCTAGATGAAAGAGTTTCACTGAAGGAGCAACTTGTCTTTTATTACATGACAAGATCTTTGGAGGTATATTCATACCATTGCTACTTCTAGTAATTATTGCTTTACTGCATCAGTTTTTGGATTTATAATGTTTTTAATGGATTGACTGAGTCAAGTATGTAGGGATATCCAGGAATTACACCCTTTGAGGGAGTGGCTTCTGGGGTTACTGCAATTGTTAGACATCTTCCTGCTGGAAGCTCCTCAATATTGTATTGCATTCACAGTGTAGTTGAAAAGGCAAATAGCATCTGCTGTGCTCTAAAGAATTGGGATGGAGAATTATTAGAGCCTTTGAAGAAAATGTTTGAGCTACTTTTGCGACTCCTTTATCTTGTAGATATACAGGTACAACGGTAGAAGCTAAACTTTTGCTTGCTTTTTCTACATTTCTTTTATCTAGTCGCCCGCATTGCATGTCAAAATTTTCTCTATAATAACTCTCTACTGTAGAACCTTTCACTCTGTTAGTGACTTAGTGAATTGTTTACATGTTCTAAAACAGGATTTTTTTTTGCTGTTAGAAATCTCAAAGAGTAGGATACAAAATTTCTTCTTCTGCAGCATAAACTGGTAATTAGTTTATTGCATAGTACTGATGAAGATATTAACTGTTTCAGGTTCTGCCTACTTTGATGAAGTTACTGGCTCATCTGATTGTTCAGCTGCCTACTGATGGCCAGAATATGGTACTTAATGATTTATATCAGCAGGTTGCAGATTTGGATGATGTTACAAGGAAACCAGCAATGGTTTCTTGGGTGCAGTCACTATCTTACCTCTGTTCTCAAGATTCTAGCAGAAGAGGATCAAATGAGGCAGCAGAACTGCACACTGCTTCTTTTGGTAATGTTGACTCATTAAGCCTGAACAAAATAAATGCACGATTGTGATGGATTTATGATGCAGTATATTTTAATTATTTATTCGTTATGCTTTTATGCATCAACATAAAAGGTATTAATGTTCAAAGACGAAGGAGATGTTTATTTATAAGACAACAGTTTTATTTGTAATTGAATATACATATGAATGTGAACCATAAAATCTTTGTGGTTTGACTATTTACATAGAGCTATATTAAAGAAGACACTTGTAGTTATTTCCAAAGGAATTTTTATAAATATTACGCAGTACTTCACTATGTACTCGTGTGCTGCCTGAATGTTTGATATCCTATTTCAGCATATCCAATCAAATCTTGGCCCTGTTTGGAAAACAGCTTATCAGCCAACTTTTGGCTTCTTTGACTATAATTAAGGAGTTTGACCATCTAGCTAGTCAAATTATTGTTTGGTAAATGGATTATAGGTTTAGCTTGTTGCACTCGAAAAGCTGAAATGTGAAACGCTACATAGGGCAGCGTTTAGACTCGGCGGTTCAGTTTGATTCCTTTTGTGCCCTCCTATTTCACGCATGCTTGATATATCTATCGCCTCTTCGTAGCTCTGCTTCCTTCTCTTTGGTCGTGCTTTGCTGCAGAAGATCTTCAGCCAGCGTTGCAAATCCTTCACAGAAATTTTTGCATAAACTATGTCTTCATATTAATTTTTGCATCCTTTTCTGCAATATTTTCTATCTTTGTTGGTGTTCATTCTATCTTTTCTCTGTATGTTCATTCTATCCTTTCTTCATCTATTTGCGCCTATCGTGGTGTTGAAATTCATATGTAAAACTATAGCTACAACCTACCAAGTAAAAAAACAAATTTCCTTGCTTTTTGGGAACCAAGAAAAAAGAGTATATTGATCAATTGATGGATGTACAGAGCTCACCTTCAAATTACGACTTTCAGTTTCTATTTGTCCATACACTGATACACATGTCAGTCTAAGCTTCTAATGCTACAAGACATAATCAGAAATGACGGGTGATCGAGCTTCAATAGATGTAGCTATATTTGATTGAAGTCAGGATTTGTTCTTGACTGGTTTTTTACCTTTCTTCTCTTTACCATGATCATGGTGCTTGCTCTTCACTGAACCTACATTCTGTGTGCTCTGGGAGTCTTGGAGTTTAGAAGTTCGCATTCTTTTTTAATGGATTTTTTTTTGACCTAAAAGTTTATATTTTTTTACTGATAAACAGTGTATACATAGCCTAGATTTCTGAAAGCATTGTTCAATACAGATTGCATTCGGGTGATAATCACGCTCATTGTTGATGAATCACATCAAAAAAAGAAAATGCTTAACAAACTTTTCAGCTAACCCTTCAGCCTCATCAAATTTCACTATCAAACAAATTAACTGGTCTTAAATTTTCACATCATGCTTGGAATTATGAGAGAATTGTTTGCCATCATAGTGGACTTTAGGGTTCTTTCTCAAACTGTCAAACACAGCCTTGTTGGCATTCATATCAACATGATATTCTCTATTTATTTGCTCCATTGTATAAGATTTCCTAGTATCTAGCAACAAGTCAATCACATGTTTCATCTTAGCTCCAACAGGAGCTTCCTTATGCTCTTTATAATTTGAAGCCTTTGAGTGTCATGAGAAAATTTGATTGTTGTGGTAGGAGTCTGGGAGAGGTTGACTTTGAGGACCTAACTTTAGCTGCAGCTGCTGCAATCACGACCTACATCTCAAGTAGGGGTGGACTCGGGCCAGGCCAACCGACCCGGAACCGGACCAGCCCGCTACTGTGCGGGCCCGGCCCGGCCCGGTGAACCGGTTCCGGGACCGGTTCGGGCCAACCGGCCCGGTGGGATGGCGGTTCGGGCTCGGGCCCTTCAAAAGGTGAACCGGCCCGGCCGGTTCGGGCCCGGGCCGGGCCAATATATATATATTTTTGAATTTTTTTTATGTTTTTGGGTTGGGCTGGGTATTTTGGGCCATTTGAGGTGGTTAGGGTTGGTTTGGGGGTGAGGGGGAGGGTTGGGGGTGAGGGGGAGGGTTGGGGGTTAACTAGGAAAAGCCCCCCCAAAAAAAAAAAAAAATAGAACCGAGGCTTGGCCCGGCCCGGACCCGGGGGTTACCCGGGCCGGTTCCGGGCCTCCCCTTCTTGAACCGAGGCCCGGCTGGGCCCAGGCCCGAACCGGGCCCGAACCGGAACCGGTCCATGCCTAATCTCAAGAGGGATCATCGGATGGTCGTCCTACACTACAATTCGCTTTATCCTTCTAATCCATCAAAAATTTCACACCTCCAAATGTATTTTAAAATGTTGAAAGAAATGCTTCACAAAATGACGTGAATAATAGAACTCAAGAGATGAGAGTTGTCCGTAATAGGATCACATCAAATTTGATGCAAGCTAAACGCACTTGCAATTGATTATATGAGTATTTATTTTATTTTTATTTAAAATAAGTATACTAATTATTTTTCGCATAATTACTTGTTCATGGTTATTGGTATTCGTGTTGTTTCGCATATTATTCAATTTAAAATGTTCATTCTAATTTATTTCATAATAATTGTAGTTTTATTTTTATAAGCAACATCTAAAAATTAAATTTAATTCTAATGTCCTTCATTTTACACGCAAACAACTATTTATAAACAGCTAATTTATCAAACATTTATTGACAACAAGTTAACATAATCAGGCCAATTAAAAAAGCTGACACAACCAACTATTGTCAATCAGCCATAAACAGCTAACAACTAACAGTTGATTGCCAAATAGACTTCGGCTATGTTTGGCACGCCACTTAAGCTAAAAAAGGGCTGAAATTTTTTAAATCAGGTCAATTAATTTAAAAGTAGTCCCGTTTGGAAGAATAACTTAAGTGAGCTTAAACTGAAAATAAGCAACTGAACTAAAACATTCGTATATCAAACGTTTAGGTTCAGCCCTTGTACAATAGACCTCTATGCCCATTTTCTCGTTGTGCCTTATATGCTCGTTGTTTGTTTACATTGACCCAATTTTTTTTGAAAAGACGTTGAACAAATAAATAAAAAAAGATTTATAAATTTAATTTAAATAAATAAAAAAGCTGAACAAATAAGACAAAAAGAATCTGGAGTGAAAATGATCATTTGCTACAATGAAATAAGTTGAATGTATTAATCATAAACTTGATTCATAATTATACTCCGTAATTAGTTGGGATGAAATAAGCTAAACAAATAAAACGGCTATGAAAAATGCTTGGTGTACACCTTTTGTGTACACACGTCTGTCCCCAGCAGACGAGTTGTCTGTCCACATACAACTCTACAGAAGCCCGCCCTTATAGCCACCGCCAGGCCGGGCTCCGGGTTAGACGGACCCGTCCCAGTCCATCCCTACCTAGGCCCCATGGATGGCTCTACTGAATCATAAATAATCTATAATTGATGAGATAGTGTGTTGGGAAGCCGTGTAATGACCAGCCTTTAACGGTGATGGTAGTGGGATCCGGCTCCTCTTCCTGGCTTTAGCAGGCAAGGAGGGTGCCTAGCCATTGTGAGCCTTTAGATCAGAAAATCAATGGCATAGAATGAATGGATCCATTTTTGCACCAATCTCAAGACCCTAAATTTTAATCTTGAACCTTGAATTGAGTAAGGCACTTTGCCATGTGGCAGAGGATCCCATCCTTCTACGGTGGTGGTTTTATGTCCAACCCATACTTCTATTTGGGCATACATACAACTAGACAACTCAAAGAAATTTCATAAAATTCATAATCTTATAAAATTCATGGAATCTATGTAATTTTATTAAACTTAGTATAATTTATAATCTTTTAAAATCCATCAAAATCATAATTGAGGGAAAGTTCATGAAATAGACTAAAAAAATTGAAAATTTTAACATAGGACTATCATGTTTTTATTCCCTAAATAGGAGTAATTAATGCCAAACGTGGAAACTACTCTTTTATTTAAGTCTGACACTGCCAACGCACGACAATGATTAATCATATCTAGGGAATAAAAACATAAGAGTCTTATTTTGGAATATACAAACAATTTTAGTCATATTTAGAGCAATTTTCCTATTTGGGGACACCCTAAAGGCTCGTTTGGTTCAATTAATGTCACATTCTCTTAAGCTTAATCAAATAAAAATGGGATAAATTAAAATATTGGTTGATTGTGCTGATTTATGAAAAAATTGAATTTAAAATATATTTTATTAATAAAAATAAAGAAAAAATTATATGAAAAATAGCTAAATTGATCATCTACGGTAACTTCACTCAATACAAACGAACAAGTAATTCGAACCTTACTTCTTCTTATTATTACACAACTCAGCTTGCAATTTTTTTGAAAGGAAAACGACTATATTGATATCATTAGAATCAGGATCGTTACAACAATATCAAAATAACCAGAACTGACAACAACCTTCACCTTCCAACTACTACTCTTAGCCCTACGATTAGACATAGAGACGACCACCCCTAAAGGAGCAATACGAATCACTAACCACCAGACGAGCTTAATGCAGCTATTGCTGAAAAAATAGACCCGTCCCCCACTAACAATATCAAATCTAGCCGAACCCTCGATCAATGTAAAAAACCTATTATCATAAGCAAATACCAAAAGCAAAACGATAGCAACTAATTTCTTCGAAAATAGACTAAAAATGGGGACAATGAATTTAAGCAAGATGAACTTATTGAGCAGCTGAAATCAATCTTCCAGCACGGTGTTCCGACCTCTAATCACGCAGCTTGCAAAATTAAAAGTTACATATTTATAAAAAAGTTGGTTGATAAAGTTTGATAAATCGAAAAATAGAGTATTTTGCATATTTGGTGAATTATTTGAATGTTAGGCCATCCCTACTACAAAGACGACCATCCGACTACGAAGCACCAACCGGATCCCCTCCCTCCGTCGCTGCACCTGTTTCCAGTCGGACCAAAAGCACTGCAATCTGCCCGGCAAAATTGGGCAGCAAATCAGAATTATCCGGATGGCCTGCACTCTTCCTCCGTTCTGGCTGAGAAAACTCCCTCTACCACTCCACGAAACTATTTTCCCCGCCCCCTCTACCACTCCTTTACTTCAAAAATGTAAATTTACCGGCGGGTTAAGAACCAAATGACAAATGAACTATCCGTTTAAAATATGCAGATAAGTGTTCCCAATTAAATCTTATGAAACCGTTTGAGTATTAAGTTGATATATTCAATTTTCTAATGTTTCAGGTGCACGATTGATTGATTGATTATACATAACATTCATGTTTTATGTTCCAAATTAGTAGTTGATACTACGGGTATATCTTTTAGGCTCTAGCTAGCTAGGGGCATGAAATTTTAATGAAAATTAATTATTTTCTGCAGGATCGGAGGATCTTAGTTCTCAGTTTCCTCCATGGAAGTAAAACATTTGAGGACCGGCAGCTGCTTCACCTCAGCATAAACTTGAGGGTTATTTTGCTTTGCACGGAGAAGTAAAATTTGGTCATAAGTTTCACTCTTAGCTTGTACGTTAGACAATAGATGCTTCTCACGTTAAGATACATCATTCTATTATTGAATAAACATTTAAATAAATAACATAATCCACTAGCTGGCCTAAAGCAGTGGCCTTTATGTATAAATAGCTCATTCTCTGTGTTATTAGTCATTAAATTCAAGGAAAGTTAGCTTATTAGTTCTCTACAGCCATGAAGAGTAGTGGTACTGTAATAAACATGGTTTATCACATTTGTTTTGTTTTTCTAGTTTGTTTGGTGTTGGGTGGCTCTCGTTCAACGGGCAGTAGCGTCCAGCAGCAGATTAGTGATGATGGTGAGGATATTTACATTGTTCATGTAAGTCCACTCACCAACACCAATGGGTTGGAATTGTCACAAGATCATTACGCTGCTACCTATCATTACCATCAATCATTTGTGTCGGACCTCATCAGTAGTACCACTGCTGTTGGAGTTGAGTCATCGTCGTATCCAACAATACTACACTCATATCGCCATGTGATTTCAGGATTTGCAGCAAAGCTGACGCCGGAGATGGTGAGTGAAATGAGCCGCAAGGAAGGGTTTATCTCGGCCAGTCCTCAGAAAGTGTACCATTTGCAGACAACCCATTCTCCTGACTTCTTGGGGCTCCTCCGGCAAGACGTTGCTGGGTTTTGGCAAAAGTCAAGCGGTTATGGTAAGGGTGTGATAGTCGGGCTTTTGGACACTGGGATCACCCCAACCCACCCGTCGTTTTCCGACGAAGGCATCTCACCTCCCCCTCCAAAGTGGAAGGGGACTTGCGATTCTGATGTAAAACCATCGTGCAACAACAAACTTATAGGTGCAAGAAGTTTCATCGACGGATCTTCGTCGTTAGACGAAGAAGGGCATGGCACACACACTTCCGGAACGGTTGCTGGAAACTTTGTGAAGGATGCGTCCGTGTTTGGAAACGCTAATGGCACGGCTTCTGGAATGGCGCCACTGGCTCACGTGGCTATGTACACGGTCTGTGACATGTTTGGATGCGTCTCTTCTGCCATACTGGCTGGAATGGATGCAGCCATAGAGGATGGCGTCGACGTCCTCTCTGTTTCCCTAGGAGGTGCCTCTCTGGCTTTCTTTGATGATGTCATCGCCATGGGTACCTTTGCTGCTATGAGGAAAGGCATTTTTGTAAGTTGTGCAGCCGGTAATTCTGGCCCCGATCAACAAACATTGTCGAATGAGGCTCCCTGGCTTCTTACAGTCGGGGCTAGCACAATCGATAGACGCATCATGGCAACACTCATTCTTGGAAACAAGGTCGAACTGGAGGGTGAATCAGTTAACCAGGCTGAGGTCTTACCTCTAATGCCTTCACTGCCTCTGGTATACCCAAAAAATGATGAAACCTTCTGTGAGTCATTGGATGGAACAGATGTGAAAGGAAAAGTGGTGGTGTGTGAGAGAGGAGGGGGAGTGAGCCGAGTTGTTAAGGGGGGAGTAGTGAAGGCTGCCGGTGGGGCCGCCATGGTTTTAGTGAATGATAAATCCAATGGTGACTCAATATTAGCTGATCCTCATGTGCTTCCAGCTACCGAGTTGAGTTACAGTGATGGGTTGCAGGTCAAAGCCTATGTAAATTCCACCTCATCACCTACTGCCACTATTGCATTTAAAGGAACTGTTATAGGGGAGAAAAATGCACCAGAAGTTGCATCTTTCTCTTCCCGAGGGCCTAACCAGGCTAGCCCAGGAATTCTCAAGCCAGACATTATTGGACCTGGGGTCAACATTCTTGCTGCATGGCCCGATTCGGTGGATAATGAGATTATTAAGACGACAATGAGTAATTCAAACCCACCAAAGTTTAACATGATTTCTGGCACCTCAATGTCATGTCCTCACCTTAGTGGCATTGCAGCCTTGCTGAAGATTGCACACCCCACTTGGTCTCCCGCTGCCATCAAATCTGCGATCATGACTACGGCGTATCAGAACAACCTCAACGGCGATAAGATCAATGACGAAACGTCAAGTCCTGCTGATTTCTTTGCCATAGGTGCAGGTCATGTGAACCCGGGAAGAGCGAATGATCCCGGGCTGGTGTATGACTTGCAACCTGATGATTATATACCGTACCTATGTGGTCTCAATTACACGGATCAACAGGTTCAAATGATTGTGCAGCAGAAAGTTTACTGTTCCAATGTTACCAGCATACCCGAGGCCCAATTGAATTACCCATCCTTCGCTATCCAACTCGGAACAAAAACTCAGTTAACATATTCGAGGACGATTACCAACGTTGGAGATGCAAATTCCACGTATGTCGCTAATATCACTACCATCCCGGGCGTTGATGTTGAGGTAACGCCAAAAAGTCTGATCTTCCGTGAGGTGAACCAGAAACTGTCTTATAATATTACCTTTGCTCGAATTTCTAATAAAGGTTTTAGTAATGGTGATAGTAAGACAGTTCAAGGGGCAATATCTTGGGTCTCTAGTAAGAACATTGTGAGAAGTCCAATTGTTGTTGAACCATTGGGATTACGGAGTATCATCATTGATGAAAAAGTGGGGGTAGATGCAGAATGATTGATTACCCTTGACAAACTGCCTTTGCTACAAAAGTCTAAGCAAAAGTGTGTTTGGTTATTCTTCTAAAAGTTTCAGTCTGAAACCATTGCACGAGGTTACGTACGTCATAGTTGGAGATTTGCATTTGTTACCATGTATTTCACACGAGTCATGACAATAAAACTAAAACTTAAGGGTGTTTGGCAAAGCACCTATTAGTCATCTTTTTTAGATGTATTCTACATGGTCAAACAACTAATAGTATTTCTTATGTTATAAATAACACTTTGAATTAATTTTTTTATGTCAAGTAACAAAAAAAGAAAAACTACATTCCTTTATTTCCATTGCAACTTCACTGCCAAAGAAAGTGGCTGAACATCAAACGAAGCATGTCTACACTCTCTAGCTCGATGAAGTCGATTGGGAAAGAGAATGCAGGTAACCGGATGAAGAGCAAAGCTGTCCAGATTGCTCTATGCAACTCGCTCTACATCATTTGGAAGACAAGCTAGAGACACAATGAAGTTCAAACATACTCGTACTACTCTGGATGTTGTTATTAATATAAAACTCTTTGTTTACAGAATTTTATATACTCTCTCCGTCCCAATTTGATAGTCTCATTTCTTTTGGGCACAAATTTCCATCATTTGCAATGGAGCCAAAGATTCATTATTTTTTGGCTTGAGATTATGATGGAATAAAACAAAATGGCTCACTAAACTGTCTGCGCTTCTTTGTTATGGAGCAGCAGTCAGTCCATGCAATTTTGGACGTGATTTTCACTATGGGTCATCCGGAAACAGTCTCTTTGTGCTTTAGTACAGGGGTAAGACTGCGTACATCCGACCCCCCCTTACCCCACCGTAGGTGGGAGCCTTTGCGGCACTGGGGTAAATGAAAATGAAAATGATGATTTCTTTTGGACACAAGTTTTAATAAAGTGGTTGAAAAGGTAAAAGTTGTGATTGAGATTTGAGTATAATAAAGTGAAATGATATGGACCACATCTTTTTTTCCAAAAGGGAAACAGTACCATCATTTTGGGACATCCCAAAAAGTAAATACAGGACTATCATTTTGGAACGGAGGGAGTAGCATTTATCCGGTGAGTATGATCATGTTTTAGACTTTAGACTTGTACCATTGTGAACTCTGATTTATGTGTTTTAGGTTATTGGGTGTAGTTCGCCCAATATGAGGGAATGCCCTCTTTTTGTTTGTACGTTTTGCTTGGTAGTTGGTACTGCGAGTAGGACTGTTTGATGGGACTTTTAGCTAGATTGGATAACATTAGAGGGATTGCTCTCTAAATTTTGGGCTTGAATTAGTTGAATACATTTACATTTTAACCTTGAAAAATTATTTGAGTATCTTTTCATATCGATTTTTTGACCTATTCCACAAGTATTTAAAAACAATATATGTAGTAGTAAATATAAATAAAAACAAAAATAGTGACAAGAAATAACTTCTATTTCGGACAACTGATTAACCAAAATGTGATGAAATGTCTCAAATACCATCTATGTATACATCTAGTTAACTCCAAGTCTCCAACCCCAATTGTATCTGGACCCCCAAGCTGAGTGAAGCTTGTCCCCATGACAAACGCATAACAACTATATTTAATTCTTCGAGTTACTATTTAAGTTATTTTTTAGCTGAGAAGAGGTTAACTTCAAAGTAAAGATAGCTCTTTTGAATCTTTAAAACAATTTGGACTTTTGATAGCTCAAAAGAATCTTCAAACCTTTAAAGTCGACCTTCAAGCACTCAAAATGTTGTTGAACTCTTTCAAGCTTATTTATTTAAGCAGCTCTCATGTTTTGTGATTTATTCATCAAATTTCTGGTTTTAGTATAGGTTCTAACTTGGTCAAACTTAATGAAAGCTCCAAATCATATTGGAACAAATTTGGAGAGATAAAGAGAAAGCTAGAGAGATTAAATAGTACTCCCTCCATCCCATTAAATTCTTTCAACTTTCCTTTTTGGGTAGGCTTGGATTCGGTTCTGGCCACCCGGCCCGTGACCCGGCCCGGCCTGCTACTGTGCGGGCCCGGGACCGGCCCGATCTGGCGGTCCGGGACTGAGTGGAGACCGGAATCGGGGGGAGGCGGGGCGGGCTCGGTTCAGGCAAAGGGCGACCCGGTCCGGTCGGGTCCGGGTCCGGGTCGGGTCCAACGGTCAAATGCTCAAAAATTAAAAAAAATATTGGGTTTGGGCCACAACTAGCCGTTGGGGGGTGGGCTGGAGGGGGGGTCCGGGCGGTGGGGGGTGGGGTAAAAAAAACTATAAAAACTCCTAATCTTAAACATTTTTCCATATCTCTTCTCCAAAATCCTACTCTCTACTCTCTAATTATCTTCATCTTCTCAAATTCTCTTATCCTCCAATATATTATATATCTACTTATATTATTTATCTACTTAGAAATACTTATATTAAAATTTATATTTCTTATCTACTTATATAGTTATATATTAATTATCTATTTATAAATACATATATTATATTACTTATATTTGTTATCTACTTAATATCTACTTATTATCTACTTATATCTACGAAATACATACATATTACAATTTATATCTACTTAGTTAGAATTGTTAGAATTTCATTTCATTAAAGTTAGAATTGTTAGAATTTTATTTCATTAGTTCGAAATATTTTTATAAATTAATATTTGTTACATTTTTAAGATGGAAGGTGGTAGATATTCGGTTGATATGGGTAACCTCGAGTGCAACCGAATGAACGAGCTTGCGAGGAAGAAATCCTGCAAAGGTAAATCACATATTGGCTCTTCATCTCAAAGCCGAGATGATTTTGATACAGGTTATGCAAGGAGGGATGGGGATGTCATGACCGACGAACAACTTGAACAAGAATTGCACCGACATAATAGTCGGTTTTTCCAAGACCAGCCGAGGACCATTGACAAAGAAGAGCTCGAGGACGACGATGTGGAGGAAGTAATTCCGGAGAGCCACGATGGCGACGCGGAGGAGGGTGGCGGCAGCCACGACGCCGACGAGCCTGCCTCATCCCAAACAGGCACGAAAAAAAGTAGATCTGAACTAATGCAAAATAATTTTTATAAGTGGAAGGACTCGAACACCGGGAATTGGAACACAACTTGCAAGTGGTGCAAGAAAAATTATAGCTTGGGGATTTCCGGCGGATACGGATCTGCCACAAGGCATCTTAAGGCCAAACACCCGGTGGAGTATGCAAAATTAGGCGGCGGAACAGGGAAGCAAACTCAAATATCGAGATTTGCAAATAACCAACAACCTTTTGGTAATTTCTCATACAATGATGCACAAAATTTGACAGGTATGACTAACTTAGTTGTTGAAGAAAATTTGTCTGATTTGTTTTCTGAAAGTCTTGCTTTTCGTGATTATGCACAAACGTGTTTAAATCCTCAATAGAGAGGTTATAGTCGCAAAACGGTTAAGAAAAAAATTTCAAGGCTTTATGGTGCAGAAAAGATAAGGTTACAAAATTATTTTACAAAATTTGATGGGCGTGTTACTGTATGTTCTGATATATGGGAGGATACTTATCATAATTTACATTATTTGGGTTTGACTGTACATTATATTGATAATGATTGGAATATGCATAAACGTGTTCTTGCTTTTCGTGAATTTAATGGTCATCACACCGCTGAACATATTTATATTTTGATTGAGCGTATTTTAATTGAGTATAATTTAATTGATAACGTGTTTGCTATTGGTTTTGATAATGCTACAAATAATAGTACTGTTATTCCTAGATTGTGTGAATTGTGTGGTTCTACTTCTTTGATGAGTAGATTTTTTCATCAACGATGTGCATGTCATGTTATTAATTTATGTGTGCAAGATGGTCTAAAAGCGTTAGGGGCATCTTTGGAGGTAGTCAAGGAAGGATTAGACGTATTTGGGGTAATGGTCAACTTAGAAAAAAATGGCACGATTATTTGATTGAAAGAGGTGAAAAATATGTGGCTTTTCCTAAAAATTTGTCTATTCATTGGAATAGTAAAGTTAATTGCAGTTCTTCTTAGATATAAACAACATTTTCCTGCTTTTATGAAACAATATGATAACTATATTATAAACTCGGCTGAGATCGACACCTGCGAAAATATTCGTAACGCAACTGAAACTTTTAGGCATGTTTATAAACCTACCTCAAACCAATTTATTCGTGAAGCTGTTAATCTCGCCGGTGCTTTTTCAAATTTTGAGAATGCCAATTATGTGAGTTATTTTGCTGGTTTTATGAAGGAAAAGTTTTTAAAATATTATTCACATATTCCGCATATTTATGGTATTGCATTTGTTCTCGATCCTCGTTTTAGACTTGGTTCTTTAGAAGAATGTTTGAATTAATATTATGATGCTTTTTTGGTCCAATGCCAATGTATGACGACAACCCAATTGATCCGAAAAAAGAATACAACGAGGTTCGTGATATATTTTATGCATTATTTAATGAGTTTCATGCACAATATGGCAATGCGCCCCCTCCCCCGACACAAACCTCTTCATCTAAAGGAAAATCAATTTTGAAATCTACATTTGCCAATCTTATTAAAAAAAACCAAAACAACACCCGCTACTCAACAAAGCACAATTAATGAGATTTCTTTGTATTTAACATATGATGTTGATTTTGAAGAAGATGATGACTTTGACGTTCTAAACTGGTGGAAGGGAAAAGAAAGAATGTTCCCGGTTCTAGTAAAGATGGCTAAGCAAGTGCTATCAATGCCGGTTTCAACAGTTGCCGTCGAACAAGAGTTTAGTTCGGCCTGCAATATCCTAACGCAATGTAGAACAAGGTTGAACGCAGAATCTCTTGAGATGCTTATATGCTACCACGATTGGTTGAAGGCGGCCCGTAGAGCTCAAGAAATTGACATCACCTCATCCCATCACTTTATGGATGAATCTACAACCGAGGGTGGCTCTACCTATTACGGAGATTCCGATTGATTAGTATTTCACTATTTCATGTTTTAATTTTACCTTCAATTGTAACTTGTAAACTTGTAGTTCATGTTTCAAATAAATATACGTTCATTTTTTTATATGTAGCATTTTTTACTGAATTCATAAAATTAATTAATTAATTTTACATTATGTAATTTATTCAAACTAAAATAAATAAAAAAAAAATTAAATCAAAGGCCCCAAACGATTATATAGCCGTTGGGACGTGTTTGAAATTTGAATCCATAGAACCGTTAGGGGTGGGGGTGGGGTGGGTGGTGGAGGTACAAAAATTTCTATAAATACTCCTATTTTTTAACATTTTTATACACATCTTCTCCAATCTCCACATTTTCTAATATTTTTATACACATTTTTTATAAAACTATAAAGTATAAATTATAAAAAATATGTATTTAACCGGCCCGACCCGTGACCCGGGCGGGTGGCCTGAACCGGAACCGCCTTTACCTCGGGCCGGTCCCGGGCCCATCATTCACAAACCGGCGACCCGACCGGGCCTAGGCCCGGCCCGGGCCCGACCCGGCCCGAATCCATGCCTATTTTTGGGTCGTCCCAAAAAATTCTCCCGGCTTACCTTTTTGGAAAAAATGTGTGGCTCACATTCATTTACTTTTTTCTTACACAACTAAAACTATACATTTCCATTTTATTCCTACATTCTTAATTTACGAGCCAAATCAAACTAGGAAGAATTTATTGGAGCGGAGGGAGTATAACATTTTATGTCTTATCCAAGGACGCACTAAAAATTAATACAATGTTGAAGGAAATTCTGTGTAGTGTGCTATCGTGTATATAGTATATGTATTAGGATCATTCTATGTAAATCATCTATTATATGGGCCCATTGGCCCATCTATGTAAACCCTAATATCTCCATATTTATAGGGCCTTGATAATGAAACTATACACCCAATTCTCCCTACAACACGTTATCAGCACGTAGCCCTAAATCTATTTTTTTCTCCCGTTCTCCCTACACTCAATCTGCAACCGCGCCTCCAGCAGTCCAGCCACGCCGCCAGCAATCCAGCCACGCTTGGCCGCCTCCCAACACACCGACCGTCGCCCGGCCTCCCCCCTTCCTAGCCTACGACTCACCAATTCCCGGATCTCTGTTGAAGTATTTTTTTACTCAAAAATCATTGCAGGATCTTATGTATATGGTTTATTGCATCATGTTTACCATTGCGATGAACATCATTGATTTTTTTTAGAGATTAAGTTGTCAATTTTTTGAGATCCATTTCTTGCACCCCAAGTGTTTGATGATATGCCTCATCCATTTTTTTGAGAGATAGATGCAATTTTTTAATATAATTCCGTAATGCTATATGTTATAATCATATAGTTGGAATTAATAT